TGTTCTTCTTCACTGAATCGAGCTGCAAAAATTGTTTTACGGCTTGAATGCCCAGCTACCATTTTTCCATGGCCAGTCCGGAATCGAAGTCCGCTTTCCATTCCTAATAAATTGCTGTCAATACGGCTATTTAGTTTGAGATAGGCTGAATTGTGATATATTATTCATGACATTTGCATATATTCTTGATTCATGTTTGACAATCTTGCTCCATGGTGCGGTTTTTAACTGTCGTACTCGCAGTTGACCTGCTTGTAAGTTTGTTTACATATGAAGCCGCTACTGATTCATCATAGGCTAATTTCTTGTGATAGGATCATTGCAGATTCTCATCGGACAGATCAAATGGGTTTTGTCTTTTGAGTAACATAGAAAAATTTTTACGTGCTGACAGCTGTTCTCAAGTTCCTCACTATCGATCAATTAAACATTTGATTCGCTGTCATGAGTACGTATTGTCAAGTAAGATCATGTTTTAGCTCGGAAGAGCTTCTGATGAACAAAGCAAAGTGGGTGAAACTTTCCCATTATTTTCACCTCATGAACCTAGCTTTACATTGAGGTCGTTTACCGTTTCTAGTGAAGAACAAGTTATTCATTAACTTTGATCACTTTAAATAACTACTGATTTTTATTTTCTCTCAGTTGGTTTTTCGATGAAGCTGTGTGATAAGCTGACTACTTGCTAGTTTTCTAATTTAAGCCTTAAGCTGTTGTGTTTCTCTCCGTATTGCTTAAGACAGAGTTTGTGATTTATTTTCTATTCATTTAAAAGGTGTTGGTATTGGCATACCGTAACGTTTCGTTACGACGGAGAAAGACAGCTTATTTCCAAGAAACCATTCTGCACGGCTTAAGCTCTTCTGTCTTGCACTGCGTCGTTGGGAGTTTCGGCTTTGAACAGTTGCTAGCTAGCAAACAGAGGAGTGCTGTACTATTTTATATAAGTGAAACTGGCATGCTAACAAATGCATGCTGTTTCGCGTATATCGGTCATTGTGAATAACTTGACCCTAGGAGGTTTTCACTAATGCAGATGTTTGCTTGTCGTGTAGCTTCGAAGACACTTACCCATATAAAATTTTAATTTATGCCGAAAGTTTGATTCTGGCTATGCTGAACAATAAATTGTCTTTTCAATCTTTAAATTTGTTAGTCATTGAAGCTCTTTTGATATGCAAAGCTAAAATCTTGTGACCATTGCTTTTATCTGTCTGGAACAGTTGTTTGTGTTATAACTTATTTGGCTTTGCTACAGAAAAAATTAAGGTAGATAAATTAATACTGCTCTCTCTGCTAACCTCTCTTCTTAGGATTCAGAATGGAAAAAGAGCATCCAAGTGTTACGAGGCTGCGAAATTACTTGCGAATTAAGACCGTATGTCCGGATCCAGACTATGGTAAGAAATTTAAAACATTTTTGTTACTTTCACTCATGTTTGAGTTGTTTGTTGTTTCTTTTGTTTAGAAAATTGAACGACAGCAAATAAATAGCGCCTGCTTTAGACAGGTCTTATTCTATTAACCAACGAAGATAAGGAACAAGAAAATAAGAGCCCTTCAAAGTGTCTCAAAAGAATTTTAGATCAAGGGAGAGCTACTGGTAATGAAATATGGAATTTTAAATCTGGAGCAGTCAAGTAACGGTGCCTTATGCAAATTCCTGTCACTGACCAAATCCAGTTAAGATATATCAGATTTGTCATGTGGCTCTGCTAACCGAGCGAGTTGCTGATTACAAAAGTGACTTAATACGATGCTTGTGAACGTACGAATGTTTGGACTTTGAATAATAACCGACAAGGCACCCTCTGGATCAAACTCCATTGGCGACTGTCAGATGAGATTCTTGGTAAAAAGCGACTGAAGAGACGTTGTTACTTTTAATCGCTTCCAAAGTAGCATTGTGCTACAGGAAAACGGATAGAAAGTAAGAAATCGGATTTTATATCCATTTGTATTACTCAAGTTTTGTCAATAATTGCAGTTTATTCCATGTATTACTTCTCTAAACTAAGTTCATTACATGATTGATAAAGGTCATTGAATCGAGCACGCTGAAAGGAAAGTATCCAAGTGTTGTTGGTTTCTTGTATACTTCATTTAAAATCACCGGCTGTTCCACCCTTCTTTCATACAGCTCATATTGATCGTTGTTTCGATGGCAACATCTTTCGATGGTATAGCTTGGTTGCTGTAATGTTTACAGGTAAATCATCAATATATCTCACCTCTGTAGCCACCGTTCCTTGTTACGTGTTGCAGAATTCCTTTATATGCGTTGAACTGTCGATTATTAGACAGCGATTTTGCTGCTGTACCCACTAAACTTGGCATACTTGAGCCCTGGGTATGGTTAAACCTTGATCTATGTTCTGTCTTCAAGGATTCTAGCTAATTTGCTCACTCTAGCTAATATTTGTTCGCCATAGTTAATAATTAAAACTCTGTGCAACGCCTCTTAGACAGTCGAGAAGTTGCACACTGCCATTAGCGTTTTTGGGATCTTCGAAGTATCTGGCAGAATGGGAGCGAACTGTCCTGACCGTACGTCGAATTGAATCCGTTAATTTCTTTTTTTGCAGTTGCGGTGACCTGAAACTAACTGCTCGAGCTTAGTTTCGTTCAGACTTTGTTCTTTCTGCAGACCACCAACAGTGCACTTCCGTATGGATGGATGGCCAAGTCAATAACTTGCGAAAATTTTCAATGCCATCCCTCTACGACATCATTCCTTTTCTGGCAGGCTCTCATAGATAGTGCCAAAGCAGTTCGAAACTCGTTAGGGCGAATCATCGTTGCCTTCGTGCCTGACGTCGATCTGAACAACCAATCCACGTATCTTCGAAGTAGCCTATAAACACTTGTGCTTCGATGAGGTAATCGCTCATTTCTGATACGACTTTAAATGCACCCTGTACCTGCTGCACCGGTACAAAAGATGGTGCAGTGAGCATTCTGAATTTTAAGGCCATTATTGCGTCCGTTGAATATCTTGACTGGAGGCTGTTCACCTGAATGCTTAGGTGGTTGCGTTGGCCATAGCTAAAAAAGCGTCCAAGATGCAAGGCACTTGTAAAGTTTGTTTGAAAAGCGTTAATGGTCGCATGCTCAAAATCAGTTAGTGCCGATTGAGGTGCGGACCTGGTTCCAGATGTTTCAAGGCGTCAAACATTAGCAAGTAGTTCACCTCCGTTTTGTCCGGCGTTAGAACACTATATCCTGTGGATCGTGTACAGTTGCTGAAACAATTGACTAACTGTTTTAAATGTTCCATCGGCATCCAAGTTGGATTATTGCGTCAGTAGTCACAAATTATTCCTAGTAGAAAAAATTAACAGACGATTGTTACTGGACCCGCTGTCAATCACCAGGAAATTTTGGTAGCCAT